TTTTTTTTGTACAGTCAAAACTGAAAGAAATGTGCATGTATTGCAGAGATAAACTAATAAATATATATATAAACAAAATTCTTGCCAAAACATAGATTTTAAATCTGTTCTTGGTTTAAAAGTAACATAAAATATATCTTTTTCTGATTTATCTTCTATGAAAATGTTAGGTTGAATCATTAATTAGTGACCATTTTCTGCAGAATGAAAAATTCTACCTGAAGGCTGATAACTCATTGAGCTATGAGCTTGGTTTTTAATGTAAGTCATCCCACTTGTATATATCTACTAGAGGCATAGAGTATATTACAGCTGAAAAACAGCTGAAAAACATTGTGACTCAACCGCTATGACTTACCCATTACGTATTTGTATTGTAAAGTAACAGATACATTGTGCATTACAATGCTGATAAAATGATACATTGCTTTGAAAAACAAGTCAAAAATAGTCTAATAGGATGAAACATATTTGACATTAAAAATACTGAATCATTTCTGGTTTGTATTATAAATGTCAGTAGCTGCGTATCTAACCCATAAATATTTTCTTTTGCGTTTAAAAAAAAAGCACAAGATAAAATAGAAAAAAAATGGATTTATTTAATTTGCAAATGCCTTTGCAATGCTTTCTTGCAGAATCATAATTTTAGTTTCATTTAAAGCAGAATTCCGGCCAAATTTTCTTTCTTAGCCCTTGCAGTGGGGCTACTCCTGCACTGCAAGGGGTAAGTGCTTGTTTTGTCTAGGTTAAAAAATAACAGAGTTATACTCAACCGATCTTTAGAGCTCGCTTGCTCTTAGCCCAGACTCTTCTGCCTCGCTCCCCCTCCGCTCCAGTGGTCTAAGGTTCCATGAGTCATCACATTCTATACACTGTCTATATCTACATATGGGCAACAGCCTGCCGATAAAGCCCACCCGCTGTGCTGCCACATACTGTATATGCAGGAAAGTGTACATATGCAGTGGGAAAGTGTTAAAATAGAACTCCCGGCAATTTTTTTCATATCCCGTGCAGTGGGGCTAACTTCGCACTGCAAGGGTTAACTGCTCATTTTTGTCTGGGTTCAAAAATAACAAAGTTATAATCACGCAATCCTCTGAGCCGGCTTGCTCTTAGACCAGTCCCTTCTGCCTCACTATCCCAGTATCCCTCCGCTGCAGTGGTCTAAGGTCCCTGAGTCATCACATCCTATACATTGTGTATAGGACACCAAGGGACTTACATCGCTGCAAGAGACAGACGGAAAGGACCGGTCTAAGAGCAAGTTGGCTGTGAGGTTTAGGTGAGTATAACTTTGTTATTTTTGAACCCAGCAAAAACAAGCACTTTGCTCTTGTAGTGCAGGGTTAGCCCCACTTCAAAAACATTCCCTGGAGTTCTGCATATTTGTATTGCTTTGTTATCTTAAGTAATGGGAAAGTTATCACTGAATAAGCAGAAATATAGAGATTTCTCTGGTCCTGATGGAGTACACAGAAGTGAGAGATAAAATGATTAAGGAAAACACATGTAACATAGCTATAGTCTATAGGTTAAGACCAGATATGGTTGAAACCAGTGCCATGGAGCACTGGAGATGTAGCAAAGGGAGAGCAAGTTCATGCAGCTGGTGGGGCCACATGTAAAGTGAACCTGTTTTTTTTGCCCTACATGGACAATCACAGATTCTATTTAAAGGTAACATTAAGGCAAGCAGCTAAAGGGAAAGGTCTGTCACCATTACATCATCAATTGTTGCCAAGCACACAAGAAAAAGATGGCAGCCCTAAGCCATATTGCAGCCAGGACCACAGTGGGAGAGACTTAATCTGGGTACAACTGGCAGCAAATAATGCCACCTGAAGCAACCATAATAACCATAATATCTGCAAAAGTAATTATGTCAAGGGCATGTGGCCTGGTATGGTGCCAGGAGGGAGCGCACACTCGTTCCCCCCGTCCCCTTTTCTGCTCTGCCAGACTGCTGCTCAGATTAAGGGTCCGGTAGGAATTTTAGGGAGGAACCCACGCTTTTTTTTTTTTTCCGTTGGGATCCCCCTAAAATTCCTACCAGACCTAAATGGTCTGGTATGACTTTTGAGGGGAAAAGTCAGATCTAAAGGGTCTGGCATCAATTGGGGAGGGAACTTTTTTTTTTTTCTTTACTGTGACGTTTAAAAACAAAAGTTCATTCCGAATGACATTCAGAAAGAAACTCGGATGCATCCAAATGCATCGCACATGTCTAGTTTTTATACTACACTCATCCTCTCTATAAGATATCTCTATCTGCACTTTTCCATGATCTGAGTCCTTGAGGTCTCAAGGTGCATGTTAGCATGGGTTGTCTTGTTAAATGGGACATAGAACAAAGCTTAAACAATTGGTACTCAGTTGTAGTCAAATTAGCATTGGTGATGAAAAAAAAAAAGTACAAACAGAGGTCCACTTTTGTTTCACTTGGAGAATTTCTGGATGTTGATCAGTACTGCAAAAGGACTTTAAATCAATCTGTATATCCAACATACTTATTTATTAATAGTGAATGATGATCTTCACTAACTCACTTTGACCACTGACAACTAGGAGCAATTTAAAGGAGAACTATGGGGTCAGTGTTTTTCCCCATAGTTCTCCTTAGGGTAACGGGAGGACACAAACTAGCGTCCTCCCTTCACCCTAGGCTCAGTAAACCGCGAGCAGCAGCTCGCGGTATACTGAGACGCCGCAGCTGAAGCATCCCGACAATTATGCCGGGATCCGCCCAGCTGCGTGACTGACAGCTGGCTCTGCCTATCTAGAGGCAGAGCCAGCTGTACCCGCCCCCTCCCCTGTCCTTTCCACCAGTCAGCGCTGGCGGATCGTAGCGGGTGGAATCCAGCCCCTCCCCTGTCACGGCAGAGAGCCGTGACAGGATCTAGAGGTGAGCGAACGCCGGTATGTGTTCGCTCACCTCCCGATCTACTGAGCCGACCTGTGACAGTCTCATTGTCACAGGTCGGCTAGAACTATGAGGTGAGTGAAAAGCACTCACCTCATAGTTCTCCTTTAAGTCTCCGAATCTTGTTTTAGCCATGTTACCTGTGTAACTATACAAACACCTGATAACACAAGCTGTAATATTCCTAGACATGTATATACTATAATAGAAATGATTGCTTTATCTGTAGCAGAATCCCTAGATTTTATCATAATGAGAAAACCCCAAGGCACATTACATATCTGATGTGTAAGATGTTCTGGGTACACCAGCCTCCAGCAATGCTCAGTGCACAGAGCACACCTGCAGTACAAGAAATTCCTCTTGTGTAACTTTTACTGTTTGCTGCCACAGGAGTGGAGGGAGACTGCATGGCTCCTAAAAGTCTGAGGTATGGCATTACATATGTCACTCAGCCTGAAGTACTGAGTATCCTGGAAGTAGGCACTGCTACCTTTCATGCAGGAAGTTTTAGATGGAGATTGAAATTTTCCTAAGGCGTAGATTGCTAGATGATGGGTGGGAAGCTATATTTCTGTTGTTTTTTCATAATCTGAATGTATTAGAATCTTGTATTATATATCTTACAATGAAGACAACATACACAATTCAAGGGATAACAGTAGACAAGTATCAAAGGCACATTAGTACAGTCAAGAATAATCGTAACATAGCCAACATAGCAATAAAGCCCTAGAACTCATTAACCAGTGGTACATACACAAAATATAATGATACAATAACAGTATACAGTGGCCCAATAATCGTAAAAAGGCCAAGGGAAGTGTCCCGATTAGGGCACTGGAGCACCAGGAATAGTAAACTCCGGGTGTTGCGGAGTAGTATATTGTGACGAAGTTGGGAATGTGCAGGGATACCAGTCTCTAAAGATGCAGGGACACTGTGACTGCACACCAAACGTGTGCCAGAGTCGCAGGATCTAAGAAGCTGCCTGGTCTTCACCAAAGCCACAGATGGTGTGGATGTTTAGCTGCGGGGCAGCTCCCAGGCTGTGGCTCTCTGACACACCAGTGCAGGCACAGTGCCAGCAGTACTCAGAGACTACAGCACACAACAAGAAACAGGGAGCATACAGGATACAAGGTGCAGGAATCAGGCACTAGAGGGAAGATGCAGGGAACATGCGTGACACAGGGAGCAGGTAACAGAAGGGAACACACCACAGGTGTACCCACAGCAGTGGGGAATGCACAAGAGAAAGGAGGGAGGTGCACAATAGTCCAGAGCACAATCACCACAGGAAGCAAGGGCAGGAGGCAACCACAAACAGAGCAGGAAAAAATGCTGTGGAGGGAACACACAGCCACAGCAAACAAAAGAGGTACACGAACAGGGAAGGGAACACAGAAACCAGCAGGAGCAAACAAAGACACAAAATGCAAGGTATACTCAAAGAGCAGTGCCACAGGAACAGAGAGGTCCGGCTACTAGAGTGGAGATACGTTGCTCGAACGCTATAGCACAGGTGCACAAGCCTTTTAACAACTAGGTTCAGGGCAGACTGAGAGGAAACTGAGCAGCTCGGACAATGTACAAGGAACTGTGACAGGAAGAGTACAGAATGAGTGTTAAGGTAACAGTACACAAGTGCAGGACCTCAGACAGCCACTTCCATTGGAAAATTGAGAGCGTCTGTATCAATTTTTGGTATTGGCACATTTTCACGAGTATGAATACCCGTGAAAATGGTCAGTGTTCTTTTGATAGAACACCGGCTTTCCAGGCAATCTGGAAGCCAGGTGGCAAGCCCGTGGTACCTCGGGATACCAGTATTGGTATATCGGTACTCGTACTTGATACCTATACATAATCCATGTAGTGACTGCAAATTAGTGCATGTAATAAATGTAAGTGTGGTCCATGTAATGACCACAAGCATGTTGTAGATGATCCCACTAACATTTTACAATAGTTATTTCTAAAATGTAAACTTTATTACACTGAACACTTTCTGTATATGTGTGGAAGATGCTTACTCCACAAATATTGTCTTGATATTTATCTGTTGCTTTAGGCAATCAAAGATGACTGGGGAGACGGAAGACAAGTGGCAAGAGCAACAATACCAGAATTGCACAAGTAAGATATATTCTATTTCTAGTGTGGATGTATGCCTAATTCTGAGGAATATGGAGTATGTGTTTGCTTGGAAAGTGTTTTTTAGTATCAATACAATAGAATCTGGGGTTGCAGACACCACGGCTATAACTGGACCCATGTACTGAATCCTAATAGCTTTAGAGGGGCATCTAAAAGTGATAGCCTCGTGGGTTGAGCCTGCCCCTGGCTTTTTTAATGTATTTTGGATACTCCAACAGCGTGGTGTCCATGCCACTGACTCTTTTTCTGGTAGTTTCAGTGTTCCTATCCAATCTTATGTGTTGCAGCTCCCCAATCCAACAGAAAGAGAGAATCTTTCATAAAGTACATAAGAGGTGTGCAGATAAAAGAACTCAATCACTTTAAAAGAAGCATTTATTCATCCCTGTATCTATAAACAATGAGAAGAAATTCGTGTTCAAAGTTTTTTTTCAAGCTGTTAAAAACTGGCTAAAACCCCACTCTCAGCCATAGTTGGACAAGGACTCTGTAAAATCTTCCAAAACCTTTCATGCCTCAACAGTGTCATTATTTTTTCCCCCTGAATTGCAGATCCGTGGCAGTATGATGTAACTCCCTCTCCTCGCTGGCAGTCTATTATTTAACCCCACCCCCCACTTGGTGGTCAGTTGCCAGCCCAGAAAAGTGAACACAGGCCCCAGGGAGTTTTGCCTGTTGCCAGTGCCCAGGTTGCTGTTGTGTTACTTCTCACACACTACCTCGTAGGGATCCCTCTGCCCTCATAAATATCTCTTACCTGGAGATGCTGCCTTTTCTCTCTGCTTTGGCCTTTTAACAGCCACCTTCTCCTGCCCTCCACTGCAGTTGACCAGTCTACATGCCCCACCATCCGTTCACCAAGTCCTGCTCATAGAATCCTCTATGCAGGGATCCGATTCACATAGACCCAGGAGAAAAAGTGTCATGGTTACTCCATGGAACACACCTAGGGATCCTTTACTGAGCAAAAATGTGCAGAAGAGCAACAGAAAGCCATGGCCGGGCAGGAGGGAGGCTGCGGTGCAGCCTGGTGGCTGAGAAATGGTGGTTTGTTGTGATCTTTGAGGATCTTTGGGAAGACCTTCCTATCTAAAGCAGCTAGAGAGGTCAGGGGTGGCTTGTTTAACGCTCTCACTGCTTGTTAAGAACATGTAAATAGTTAAATGTCCATTGCCTAGGCAGGGGCGTCCCGAGGTCGGGTGTCACCCGGTCTCCAGATCGGGTGACACCCTGCCACATCGTCATCGTGCATGCGGGGGCATCTTGGTAATGGACGCCGGCAGAGAGAGGCGGGATGAGGTATGCTGCCAGGTCCCCTCCCCTCTCCTGACACTGTCGGGCTCTCGGTCCATGACAGAGTGCCTGACTTTTTAGTGGTGAGGACACCAAAATGACTGTCAGTCATTTTGGTGTCACCCTTGCAATGTTGTCAGCCGGGTGCGGCCGCACCCCCTTGTGACGCCACTGTGTCTAGGCACAGGTGCACTTTAACTCTCCAGCCCTCTCCAAAAATGTTATTATTGGTTGAAAGTAGAACGGCCCTTTAGGGCTCTGCATTACTTAGGAAATTGATGAGACTGGAAACAGTAGCAATAGGATTTAAAAAAACAAACAAACTTCTACCGCAAAGAAGATTTAAAGTTTACAGAGATCCAGATTACAAATAAAAGAAATTGTTATTAGTGGTGAATGCTCTGAGTAGCTCTGCTTCTTCATGCTGCTGGTGTACCAAGGATTATCATAAGGAAGAATAAGAAGCACTGTGTGTCGGGCAGTGGTGAATGCTTTCAGTGGTAATACGGATAATATCGAGGTGTGCTGATAATGAAGAATAAGAAGCGATGGGGATTTAAAAATAGACTTTTCACTTTGCAAGGAAATGTATTAGTTTGTAATTGGATTTACCATTAGCTTTGTGATTCTTTCCATCATCCAATCATGTGCAAACAAAAAAAATGGTTTTTCCTTTTTACCTTGCACGTGATTGTGCATTCTTTGCAAAGTGAATTTTCACCGCATTCACTAAGCCAAAGGAAAATTCTCTTCCAACTCAGCAAAATGGATTGCTGAGTTATGCTCCATAATGCACTTTGAGGAGTTGACGGCTTATCTCCATGACCGTCAACCTCAGTGTGCATCTTTGTGGGCCCCTTGGATTTTGTACATGGACACTGCTGCATTTCTAGCTTTGTGAGGTACCTGTCTGTTCCCCTGTGTTTTATCTCCATTGCACAGTCTCTGAAATGCCTTTGACGATGAACTACTGACCTCTTAGCATCGTTGGGTCATGTGGGGCCCAGGCCCACCCTTTCCTTGTTTCCCCCTGGTTTCCTCTCTGTCCATCTCTCTACCCTGTTTGCTAGTTCTCTGATTTTTTCTTTCTTTGCTCTTTTGTTCTTTTTCTCTAATTTCCTTTCTCTCTCCCCTTCTTTTTGTAGCCCTATATATAAGCTTGTGCTCGGTTCCTTTTTTCTACCCGTCTTTTTCTTATGGGGTGTGACCCCTTTAACAGGTTATACCACTATTTCATTTGAAACAGTTGCAAGTGCCATAGACACCTTATTATTGCCTATTGTGCCCTCCTCATGTATCACTTCCCCTTCCCTTTTAGATTGTAAGCCCTCAGGGGCAGGGCCCTCCTTACCATCTTGTCTTGATTTGTATTGTGGTTGTAATGTCTTCCCTATATTGTAAAGCGCTGCGCAAACTGTTGACGCTATATAAATCCTGTATAATAATAATAATAATAATAATAATAATTGTCTAGAATGTATGCCTGTGGGTCCCTTATTTCATTGATATATTGTAGATCATGTTTGAATGCTCATGTGCTGTAATTGGTTTTCTGTTTATTGATGTTTTTGGTGTAAAATGGTTAATAAACTCCTATTATTTTAAAAAAAATTATCATTAACAAAACCTGGCGGGATTACAAACAGCAGCACAGTCACACGTCCTGTTACATGTGGGAAAACTCATGTGACATAAACAATAATGAAATATTCACTTAAATTCTCTGCTTATCTTGGTTTCTGTTGGCACCAATGTTGTAATACCACAGTTAGTTTCTATGTTAAAATTAAACCTGACCTTTGAAATTCCAATGTGTTCTCAATTTTAGCTTATACATGATCCTATTGTTTACCATCACTTTGGAAGCAGGAGCTAACAGTCAGGTGCCAGTGCACAAGTATCTTTTTCTTCCAAAATCTAATGGTTACATAGTTAGTCAGGTTGAAAAAAGTCCATCAAGTTCAACCTATAGTAATATTTTTACTAATCCAAAAACAATGCCAGGTAAAACTAATGTATAGTTTTATTTTCTGAGTCTTTGTACACAAGAGTCTGCATATCAAACTAAACTGGGCCATGGCTTGTGTGGCTGTACTAGGAATCATTGTATATAAACTCCTCAGGGGAGGAGCTAAGCTGATGGATCTGGATGATTAACTGGTCTGTATAATGCATTGGTGATCTTGTTCCCATTATCTTTCCTTAAAGCAAAAATTGTGTTTTTAGTTGTGGGGGGATAGATAGTTCTGCCTGTGTCTACCTTGATGTAAAAGAGTAGCTAAGGCCCTTAAAAGTGTTATTATATTGGTTATTATAATCTATATATTAGATTATTCAACAAAACCATGTTCATGTACAGTTATTAAAATCTAATAGTGCTGGTGGGGTATGGTAGACCTTAAAGGTAAATTGACCTGGTTGTAGTTGGGACTCCTGTTGCTAGGCAAATGCTACTGTTATATTCCTGCTAGGGGCATCCCAGAAGTGTTATTACTCTACCCCTCATAGTACTTGAGGGAAGATAGAGACAGGGCTAACAAAGACCGCTGCAGTCACAGGAGTATTACTGTTGTACCCCTCCTAATGCTCAGAAGCACAAACACATAAGACCTAAGGTCGAACTCTGGGTAAAACCCAAACATTAGGTACTTGTTGCAGTCCTGTAATAGGGTGACAACACTGTTAGTTTTTCAGTGAACTCACAAAGTAGCACAGTTACCCTTTGAACAGCGTAGACTTAGATGGACATTTAGTTTGAAATGAACTTTAAAGGTGAGTGAAACACAGACAGCTATAAAAACCCTTCCGCAATCCACTTTAAAAACATTCTACTACTGTCCGTGCCCCCATTGAAGAGATTTTTCTTCTTTCCTGCTTCAGTGATCAGAAAGTGAGTAAAACTCTCCCCAATGGTTACAGAAAAACCAATAAAAACCCAACAAACGTTCTAACTCTTCTCCAAAAAAGGCCAACATTAGCCATGACATTAAAGAAATACATGTTTCAACTTACAGTCCTCCTTGTCCTCTGAAGATTGCTGAAGTCAATTCCTTGGGTCACTTTGTTCGAATAGTGAACTCTTCTCCACACCAAGATGTTGATATAAGTGGCTACCTCCTGTGGCAGCTGGAAGGAGGACATGCTGTGTCTATGTATCGCTTTCCACAGAACTTGACCCTACCTGCTCAGCAACATGTTACGGTAAGGTGATGATTTCATATTGTTATCAGTAAAAACTTACATTTTGTTTATTTGGATGATGTTCACCTGAGGAATCATGGCAAATGTTGGTTTAAATGTGTAATAAAGGTGCATGGTCTTTCTCAGACTAATGAAGGACACCCGTCTAGGGCTTAAAATATAGAAATCCAGAGGATAACTTTTTATGAAAACTTTGGGCTTGGCTGTAAATAAAACAAACAGTACAGACCCTTTTAATGAACCATGCTATTGTCGTCTTATGTTATAGGGGAACTACATTGGTTCTGTTGCACAATGTTCATTGAGTTACACTGCTGTCCTCAAAATTAGTCAGTGGATCACATTACCTTTGGGGAAAAAACACAGCAGTAAAACTAATTCATTATATTTCGGTTTTTAAAAGGTAATAATAGTATTTTTAGTTAGCTATGCATGTAAAATAAACCCCCTTAAAGTGACACTAAACTTAGCAGTTAAATCCTAAAAATGAATTCAAGTACCTTAACTATTAACAAAAATGAATCTTATTTGTGTATCACTCGGCTGTAGATCCTCAAATCATCTCTGAATTCATGCTGACACTGTCCTTCCATCTGGAGTGGTGACTACTTTACAACACACACACAGAGACCAGGGGGAACACAAGTAGCCACCCTCCAGAAGGAAGGACAGTGTCAGTATGAATTCAGAGATGATTTGAGGATCTACAGCCGAATGATACACAAATAAGATACATTTTTGTTACTTGACCCTTGAATGCATTTAAAGGAGGACTATGAGGTGAGTGATTTACACTCATCCTCATAGTTAGAGCTGACGTGTGACATTGAAGCTGTCACAGGTCGGCTCTATTGATCGGGAAGTGAGTGAACACATACCGTCGCTCGCTCACTTCCCGATCATCTCCCTGCAGAGAGCGGTGACTGTCAGTCACTGCTCCCCACAGGGATTACCCCCTCCTCTCTCCGATTCCTCCAGCGCTGACTGGAGGAACTGACTGGGGAGGGGTCGGGCACAGCTGGCTCTGCCTCTAGATAGGCAGTGTTACCTTATGAGTTTATGTCAAATCTTCATAAGACGTATGTATATAGTTTTATTTCTTGTTTTAAATATTTCCCCTGAGTTGTTGATAGCTTGTAGGGAAATAAAGTATTTGTTTTGCTTATCACTGTGGAGGGGAGTGCCAGGCCCAATGAATTGCAAATAGGGTCATTGTTGAGCCCAGGCATGTCCATATAATTACCATGGAGGTGCAACTTCAGTATCCTGTGTATCAGGAGCCAAGACCCTTTGATCTAATAACAAGTAGACTGGCCAATCGTAGAGAGGGGTGTGGAGTTGTAAAGAGGGTCTTGGAAACCCTCCAATCTCCAGTAGGCCTTGGGAGGCAACCAATGGGAGACTTGTCATGCATCCCTATGGACACCAGGGGTATATTAATGACTGGAAAAAACAGCTCGGCCTCTTTTCACCAGGATGGGGCCTCATGTGACGATTAATGGGTAACTATACATATAATCTTTCCCCCACTTAACTGTATGTCTGTTTGTCGGTTAGATACCAATGTCTGGGTATTTGGCATGTTTAAATCTTTTCTTTGTATGTTGTAGTTAAATAGATTGTTGGTTCATTGTATTTAAGTCTTGATACTATATACCAATAAATTCTGTTATTGTGTTGAGCTCAAAAATCTCATGAATGAATCCTTAGAATCTCAAACCTGTAAGTGTGAATGCTTATATAGCGGTTCATAACTTAAAATAGTAATTCAGGTAACA